TTTCAGAGTAGCAGCCGTGTTAGTCTGTATCTGCAAAAAGAACAGGAGTACTTGTGGCACCTTAGAGACTAACAAATTTATTAGAGCATAAGCTTTCGTGGACTACAGCCCACTTCTTCGGATGCATGCATGTGTCTGTAGTGGGATTAGGAATCGGGGTTGTGTAAATGTATGTAACCCTTCTGCATGTCAGAGTTGGCAGCAACAAGGGCCGGGTTCAGTATCTAGGAGTTCTGTTTCAATAACACAATGCAAAATCGGCTCAAGCCCCCACCCAGTGACCTGGGACAATTACATACCACCCCCCGGGTGCTTCTTAGAGGTAATACTTCCCCTTTCGCAAGCACGGAGTCTGAGTGTAGCAAATGCCTTTTAATAACAGAGAGGAAACAATGTGGCATCATGTTGGGGAAACACCACAAACAGGATTTGTAACACAAACCATGAGCAAAAGACCCGCCCCCAAGCAAATTGGGCCGTGTCCTTTCCCCAGAGCGGTTCTTGAGTCCAGCAACCCAAAGTCACCCAAAGTCCCAAAAGTCCAGCAACCCAAAAGTCTCTGTCCCTGGTCAGTGCAGCCCCAGAATTCAAAAGTTCATTTGCAGGGTTTTACACCCCCAGCCTGGGTGGAAATGGGGAGGGGGGGTGTTTTAAGGGGCACCTTATGTGGTCCAAGGCCGACTGCCCCGCCTCTCCGTGGGGCTCAGCTCTGCTCCGCCAGCCATCCCGTGAGCCGCTCCAGCCATCCCACAAACTACTCCACTCCGCCAGCCGCTCCACTCTGCCAGCTGTCCCGCAAACTGCTCCACCAGCCGCTCAGCAACATATCTTCAGTCCCCCTTTCCCCCCAGTTAACACAGTTCTCAATTTTAGCTCTTTAGTGATTTCAGCTTGTAGTAGGGGAGCCTCAGTGCTGGTGCGCCATTGGCCCAAAGTGAATTCAGCTCAGCAGCCTGTAACTAGACTCCTAATGGAATCAAAATTAGCTCTGATATTCCACAGTGGAGAGAGGAGGAGGTACAATTGATGTTTCAGGCCCTTACACGGAGGCCCACACCACCACCACTACTACTACCACAGGCTATGATCAAGTGTTTTGATCAAGTGGGTGTGCCTATGCAAATGAGATCAGCCCCTGAAGTTCTTTTCCACAACCCGCACAACTCACCACCAGATGTCAGGGTAGAGCTCATCCTGACTCTGCTTACCTATAAAAACAAGCAGTGGGAACTTACACTTGTTTCTTGTCTGAAAATCTCTCAACAGCTCGACGATGCCTTTCTAGAGGAGGCCCTGGACAGGGTTGGATCAAACAGTGAAGATGAACCGGGTCCACCTTCTTTTTGCTCAACGCTGCTACAAATTGTTGAAGAGGACTCCGAGGATGACGACTATAAGGAGTTTAGAAGGAGGCTTGGCATGGAACTAACTGAGCCAGTGCCTCATTGTGAGCGTAAAAAAGTCATGCGGACTATTGTACGTTTTGCTGTTTATGCTGTCCTTAAACACTGCCTTAGGGAAAAGCTTTTGGAAGATTGTGAGGGCTGCGTCATGGATGCCCCAGGCCAGCGGTACCATGACTGTGTGACTTGGACTTCAACGGATATAAACTGCAAGCTCCGGGGCCTGTGTGCTGAGCTGTGTTTGGAAAGCTTATTAAACACTGTTATTGCCGTAGGTTATGCTGTGCAATGTCTGTGCCTAACCCAAGAACATTTAGCGCAAGGGGTGACCTTGATAAATGCTGTGCAATTCAGTGGAGACCCTGAGCGTGTTTTAAAGAAATTGACCAAACCGGAAGATGCCTGCTTACAGCGTTATATTGACCGTCTGGTCCGCACAAAAAGTTATGGGACCCTGCTTAAAAAAAAGACTATTTGTAAGAAATTTAAAAGGATTAAGTTAGAGAATGGTGAGGGGACAAACATGCGATATAAAACTTGATAGCTGTAAATAAAAAAATACTATTGAAAAGGGCTTTGTGACGATCTGTGACGATCTGTGTTTGTCTCTGCAGGCCCGAAAACATATGGGTATAAGCTGTCGGGAGATAAGGCCTGTATGAAAGTCAAAGGGATTACTCTGAACATAGAAGATCAACTTTGACAGTTTGAAAGATC